ATGATTAAAAAAGGGTGAGGTCGGAAGACTTGCTAGTTTCTGTGCTCAGCAATAATTAAATACATTATTAATTAGGTAATAGTAACAGAACTAGCCTTTGTTGAAGTTAAAGGGGAAAAGGGAAAAACTCTGTAGTGCAGGTAAGCCACACATACAGTCAGAGACTACATGCAAGCACCAAGAAGCTAATCAGAAGTCAGGGGCTGACAAGAAATACCATTCAGAGCTGACTATTAACAGGGGTGCTTCCACTCACAGCTCAAGCACTTTCTCGCAAACGCTTTCTCCCAAAGCAGAATCAGACAGGTAAATGCCACCAGGTATTTGGCTATCTCCTCACCCACCTACTAAGACCCTGCACCTGATACAGCACACCTCCCATAAAACTGCATTATTTACAGAGTCACTCCTGCCTTCGGAGGAGTCAAGCACATAAATTTACCTTGCCAAAGAATGGTGCTTTTACAACACATGGTAACATTATTAGCAGATGCAGGCAACTTCTGTTTTTTATGCGTGTGGACAATTCATATAAGCAACAAACTGCTCTGTCTTCTTAGCTTAAAAGCACCTGTCTTCAAGAGGAAGGTAAAGCCTAAGGAAATCCACTGTGAGATCTGAATGAGAAAGATGCAGTCTGAAAAGCCGCTCACAAGGAACATGCAAATGGAAATAGGGGCTGACATCAACTCTACAGTGGAAATATGCTCTAAAAAGTGCTATAACATACATACCTGATTAGAGCAGAGATTCCATACAAATTCCGTAGTTTCTATGGTATATCACAAATCTGAAAACAGCTTTGGCTATAAGATTTAAAACCTTTTTTACATTGTTGATCTTAGTACACTTTTTTTCGTGAGTAAATACTTTGCTTTTACTATTAAAATTTTAAGAAGCAAGAACTGGACTGGAAAGACACCCCTGTCAGACATGACTGCCTACGAGACATCAGATAACATGGTTCAATTCAGAACAGGACTTACACATGGCAATGCTCAGTATCAAGAAGCTTGGCTGTAAGTGCTCAGAAGTGTCTGAAACTCTACCTTCTTCCTAGGAGAGACATTTTCTTACATCCCAAAACCCCATCCTGTATCTCAGATACCTTTGTCATCTTGCTGGATGTAGATGACTGGCTCACTTTTCTTTGAAAGTAAGCTCAGTGAAAACAACACTCTAACAGGAATCACTGTGTCCAAAAAGCAAGAAACCTGAGTGTACTACTCCCTCAGTGAAAAGATTTCAAAACACTTTCCACAAGACTGCCCTAACCATTAGGTTGCAGGCAATAGGACAGCAAAGACATCTGCCAGCTCTATGACAGCACATCTCTGCACATACACAGGTTCTAAACATCAGAAGCCCAAAATACCATTTTCCTCCTCCTTTCTTAGAATTATTTATATAAGCAAGTGCACTGTGCCTGTTTGTCCTCAATATAAAGACACAACTGAAAACTACAATGGTACTTCACCTTGGGAAAAAATGACAAAAAGCAATTCTAGTTTGTCCAGAGTTGAGTTCAAAAATTGAGCAGTATCTAAGAGAGGAAGGAATAAGCACAGCATCGCAGTAAAAGAATAGACTGTTTCTTCTGATTAAGTTACCAGCCCTTGCATACAGTTTTAGGCAAAATGATTAAAACCAATTTAAAAAATTACAGCTCAGTAAAATATGAGGCACATGTAGCTACTTGCGTTCAACTACTTCAGCAGTATGATACAAGTTTTCCATAAAAACAGAATTATTTTGTAATTCTTTTCAGAATTAACCATTTCAAAAGTAGTAACAGACTTTAAAAGAAAACAAAGATCCCATCAGTCTACATTACTTTCTGGCTCCATTCTCTCAAATGTTATATATTACTTCACATATGCTTGTTTTTATCTGTCAACATGGTTTATTGTTAGGGAAGTGTAGTATCAGCTGTCTCTTCCCTGCCAACAAAGCTACTTCATTAAAGTTAATAGTGTTTGACTTCCAGAGGATCTTTTACCAAGGTAACACAAAAAACTTCTGCTTGTCATTATTTTTCCAGCAATAAAGACACTAAATGGATGCCGTATCCCCTTAACCTTTTAACAAAGAAATCCATTCCATTAATACATTGAAAACATTGAAGAATTCTATTTACTAAATTACTTCAGCTGTGAGCAACCAAACTGTTAAACACACACCATCAGATGGCAGACCTCACTGTAGTAGTGAATATCTGCCTTGGTTTGTGGCAGACTACCATGCAAAGGTTCCTATGCACCTGCGTTAATCTGCATTGCCTTCTGTCTAATGTTACCTCTTAAAGGGTGTAACTAGTCACATTAAACAACATGAAACATTTAGCAGCAAAAAATGGATATATTTAAAAGCCACTTCCATAAATAAAATGCTGACATTTTAAACAAAAATCTGTCATGAAACCTTTCATAAAACCACTTAGGGACTGAGCTTATGTGTTTTTATACAATACACATATATTCTACTAAGTAAAAATGCAAAAACATGACAATCATCAGGAACAACTTCTTGCATACACAAGTAAAAATAACAAAACCCAGCAGTCTTTAAAAACATCAGTTTCATATGTTAGAACCATCTGGCATATTCACAAATGTTTGTTAACTCTAACATATGTTTATCAGATCAAAAAGAAAAGGACTGGAGTTCAAACCAATTTTACTCAAAATATATGATATGTTCTATAAAAATCTTGTATACCTCAATAACCTGCAGCAGAAGAAAAATAAAATATATTTTATGCAGTATTAAGAAACATCCAATCTTCTAAAAGGCATTACAATAAAATATCATTAAAATAGAGACGATTAATCTAATGCTTAGTAAAAACTGTAAATAGTATGACGTAATAGTATATAAGACAGTAATAGAATAATAATAGTAAATATTATAAGACAGGTTTCCCATGCATGCAACCCTCTAAATACAAGAAGGAAATTTTTTGTCATTCATTTTTACATGAATAATCTCAGTACCACATTTTCAACATGTACAGGCACATCAAGACTACTCAATGTAACTAGAAATACGTAAGGTCATTTAACTGCGGCATTGCTGAGGAACAAGAGAATAAGACAAGTACGTACGCCTTCACAGCATCTAACTATTTTTTAAAATAACATCTTTTTCAATGTGCTTTTCACCTCAGTAAGTACATGCATATGTGTAAGGATACAAAACCATTGTCTATCAGAAATTCATGTCAATTGCAGACTGCAAAACCGAAGTCCATCAAACGTTTCAATACATAGAATCTGAAGTATATTTACTCGGTGAACCCCTCCACATGAACTTACAGAAGGCAACAAGGCTGAAAATGAGCTATGTATATTGCATAAATCAAGTATTAAGGCTATTTAGTACTTTAGAACCTTTATGCTTAGGCATACGAAGGTGTGCAAGCAAAGCCCGTGGTAGCTGGCACAAGGGGGAGCAGTCGGGTAATATTAACAAGGCTTGTGACCCCCCTTGGAAAGGCTCAAGATTCAGGTTTGCAGAACCTGCTCGCAGGCTGACTCAGCCCTCGGACTAGCTGACATGCCCTCGGAAGAGCACCTACCAAAAGAACCAGAAAGCTCACTTTGTCACAACCATCCTCTCCATATGAGTACTCCAAAACAGCTTTGGCAATGGCAATGCCTGATGCAATGTTTGCACCTGTTTTCTAAAAGTCAAAATGGGTAATCACAGCTGCAATTGGTTTCTGTTTCTCCCTTAGCTTCAATACCCAAATGTTTGTTGGGGAGAAGAGAACTTCCATACAATTATTTCATTTTGGTAATACAGCAACACTGCAAATCAAGTGAATTACAAGATATCAGAGAGTATCATGTCAGTCTCTATGTGCTCCTGCATTTCAATTCATTTCAAATGTTATAAGGAAATACCAAATATCAGCTTTTACTCCACCCTGAGGAAGCTAGTTAGTTGCAGCACACATTGAAATATATTAAAAGGAATCTGTAAATCATTGGCTCTGTGAGCAATCCCTCTGGAGACATCTGGAAGGAGATCCTCAGTCCATGTTCACTGTCACAGTCTACCGTGATGTTCTTACAGATTCACACAGCTGTAGCACTTCCTGTGTTAGCTGTCTGGAAATCACCTTCTCCAATACCCAGGACTGTATGCTCTATAAGGACTCTGAATTCTTTTAGTTTCATATTTGTAAAGCACAGAATTAGACACAACCACCTTCTGTCCATGACTAGCAATCTTTGCTGCTACACATAAACACCATTTAGAACAAAAACTGAAAAAATAATTATCTCTATAAAAGAGGTAACCGTTCATACTGAAGTGCCAAATGAAAACTGATTTTAAGGAAAAACAAAAATCATCAAGCAAACAGATTAGAAGCAGTGAATCAGACAGTCAGAGTTCACTTCTAATCCAGAGCTTCAATCAATAACTGCTTTCTACGTAAGAGATATCTTTCATAAATTAATTTGTACTATTATTATATTTAAGTCTTCATAATTCTGAGAAAGAAAACTGCAAATATCAGACAGAAAAATCCTCCATCCAGCCATTTTACTAGTGATTATTCCACATTTTAGATAGCTTTATAAAATAAATTCATACGTGCAAAACCCCACCTCAATTCCACAGAAACCAAGGTGATTGTTTCCACAGAAACTGAGTGAGCTTCACCAGCTTCACATTGTTCACTACACCACAGACCGCAATCTGTCCATTAACATTTTGAAATGCACTAAAATACTAGAGCTTCATACTCAGGTAGGATACAAAAAAATCCCCAAGCAACCCATACCTTTTTAATCCTTCCAATCTGTTTTATGCAAGCTCTTTCATAAATTGAAAGGATCATTACCTCAGTCTGTTTAGACCTCGGACTTGACCTCTCCACCCTAGAAAAATTCTATAATCTGAGGGACTACCCTCATAGGATAATTTACTCTAAATACTTGAAAACCATTACTCGGCAACACCTGCAAGCAAGTTTTATCTGCACAGAATTGCTGAATTTGTTTCACCAGATGAGAAGACCATGATCATCATTGAAAGTAATGTAACAGAATCCCTTCAGCACAGCAGAATCTGAAATGCAGGTCCAATAAATCAGCCAGTTAGTTTAATTATAAAGGATATTTAGAGTGGAATCATTCCAAAAACATTACAGATAGGCCAATTAGTCACCATCTTCCCTCAGAATAAAGTGAACATAAACTGTATTCTTACTTCTGTAGGTTCCATGAAGATTTTCATCTGGAAGAAAAACTTCTCCCATTTAAATCCACACTGTTCTTTTTCACTTACTGCACAAAGTTATGAGAAGAAGGAAAGATTTAAGGTTTTTTAACCAAAGTATCTGTTTGAAGTTCCAAGTAAACCCTTGACAGGGCCCAGCTTGCCAAGAGATATGCTTTCTACCAGTAAGCAAGGAAATCTATCCATAATTTTTTTTTTCCTTTTTTTAAAGAAAATAAAACATTTCCTTTGGAATTTATTCTCTCTTTTAACCTTATGCTCACTGCCCAACACAAACACACACCTTTCCCCAAGGACGGGGAAAAACTCCAAGCACCCCAGGGGACTCTGGTGGTGGTGAAGCCCCCAGCGCAGGGCAGCCATTTTGTGCCCCTTCAGGGCACAGCCCCAGGCAAGGGGGCTCAGCCAGCCTGGTGTTTGAGGCTCTGGCTGTGCCATACACACATGACATTGCTTCCTGCGTCATCCACAGGTTGTTTCTCAGCATTTTTGTGCAGAAGACCCAGCATTTTTCTTCAGAAATACCATCGCCTCCCATGGGTATGGACATGGTGCCTGAGGCATAAGGGGGAGCACAGGGGAACCACTGCCAGAGAGGGCTGATAAATGGCTGGGGGTAGAGGAAAGGTCTTAACCTTGCAGTGTGTGTTTTAAAAAGAAAGGGGCAGTCTTTTTAGGCCTTGCATTTGTCTTCCTTATATGAGGAAAATGCTATAATCTGAAGGACTGCACTTTTGTTTTCAAGGATAGTTTGTTCTAAATACATGTGTCATCATCAGTATGACGGACTGATAAGTAAATCGAATAAGAGTGTTCCAAACCATTCACTTTTATTACACAGTAGCTGGTATGTTACACTACAACACTGTTCACCTGATGAATCCAGTTCATACAATGGTGCTGAGATCCATGATGTGCCTATGAAGAAAAAAGGACACTTATTTTATCTAGTCTAGATAGTAAGAAGATAGTCTCCTATCACCTGGTCCAAGGCTAGTTTCGCCAACAGTAAGAAGGAGATCTGTAGTACGTGGTAATCTGGGGTTTTCTTCTCTATAAATTATGTTTTATCACAGTGAGAGATTTGTACAATCTAATGAGAAAGCAGTGAGTGTATGAGAGCAAGCCCAAAATTCAAGAAAACATTAGCCCTGGGCAGGTTATTTAACAGGGCCTCTAGAGTGCAGTCATAAAAAGAGGGATGAATTTCAAAGGTAACACAGCACAACAAACGGCTGAGCAGCAACAACGTCATGTAACTGCCAAGCAGAATATGGCTGACGCTCAACAATTCACAAAAAGCAGAAACTTGATAAGAATAGAATGGATGTTCATTTTCAAGCAGAAGATAAGATATGGATTAAAGTTCAATCTCAGGGTAGCGCACAGAAAGATTTTACGGCTACACTAACCCCAAACCAGAAAATTTCTTACTGAGTTAAGTAATAGGGTAAATGGAACCACAGTATTTATGGTACACACTGTGTGCTGCTGTGGGATGTAAATCCTCGCACATTCACAGTGCTGGGATTCTGGCAGCCTTTATTCTGGAATTGTGGTAGAATTCAATTTTTGTATTCTTTACATTTCCCTCTCTGATTTCATCTACATGGACATTAAATTTATTCATTACTGTACGTTTTTTACCTCAGTCACTCAGTATTTAGCTCTCCCTCAAGAAAAGGAAATAACCACAAAGAGGGTGGTAACCACGTAATCTCTTACATACAAATAATGTTAACTTTCTTTCATTTTTTCATTACATACATATCATTTCTACCCAGGTATATCTTGGCCTAAAGATGATAATTAGTTAATACATGGGAGAAGGAGATCTTGGGAAGGAAAAGTGCTGGACAACAGGAGCCAGCTCAAGGAAATAATTCCTTGCTTTCTGATAAGCATTGCATGCACTGCAAATTAACTGGAGAAGCAGCAAACAGATGGGTTGACAAGGCTTGTGTCACTGGCAAAAAAAAGGCAGGGAAGAAGGACTGAGAACACGATTAGTTAGGAAAAAGACAAACAAAGCTATACATGGTTTTTAAGCCAACGAAGAAAATTAAAGTAGAATAAAAATCTACCAGAGCAATTGAGAAACTATATTAAGTTTCTTACAGACCTGACAATGGATCAGCCTTCAAAAATGTTCTAGGACACTCCTAAGGTGTATAGTGTGAGCAAATTGAGTCCATTATTCAAAACAGGAATGAATATGAATCTTTAGCTTTTAGGAATCTGGTGCTGCCATTATATCTTGATGGAAGCATTGCGGGAACTGACTGACTCATTTTTGCCACCATTTTAGCTTCCTTTAGGTCATTGAGCAAATCACTTGATGCTGGCAGGTCTCCTTCTGTAATACAAGTCTGTTGGAAATATTTCCCTTTGCCCATTTTTTGTCTAAGCAGGCTATAAACTCTCTGAAGAAGCACAGTCTCTTGCACAAAAGTGCTGCAGCAATGAAAATAATAATTTCTGAGGTTTTTTCAAACTGCAAATTCTTGCTTTACTAAGACAAAATATCCAGATTTGAAAGACTTGATGACATTTTCTGAAATGTTATTAAGGATTATCCATAGGGATACACCAGAATTCACCAGAAGTTCATTAGTCACCTTTTTCAGGCTATGAAGATGTATTTGTTTAGATTTATATGGAAAGGAGCAGCAGACTTTTCCAGTGCCCCTCTTGTCCTACCCTTCCTTTCATGTCTTTCTCCCACTCTCAGCTTCACTTTTTTTTCCATGCTGCCTCTTATAGTTTGAATAACTTCCCATCTGCCACATGCCAAATCTCCTTTAGATCCTTCTTTAAAACCTACTTCCTTCACACAGCCTATTTATGCTGATATTTTCACCAAGACATCTCCATTCATTCCCCATCTGAACTGTTGTCCCATAAATCATATTTGTCTTGCTTAGATTGTCAGTGCTAAACATAAAGCATGGTCCGGATGTTCTAGCAGTCATTCCTAGTCTGCTGCCATATGAATGATAGCAGGGTCTTGTATCAATTTCTGTACATTTCCCAGAAGGACAGAGGAGAAAAAATTATTCAAAGAACTTCACAACAGCCCTCAAGGCTTGTCTGTATTACACAGCTGGGAACAAACATCTTTCCCTCCTGTGAACTACAACTCACAACATTATTAGTTAACCAGAGGTTAAGGGTAAGAAACAAATGTTTGTTCCTATTACACCCGACAGATCCTTACACATACACAAGCATCTCAGCAGATATTTAAACGTGCCTTTCTTCTTGCTTCTGGAAGTGAATATTTCAAATGACACAGGAAAGGAACCTGAGTAGGAAGAATAGTTATTAGTCCTTAACAGTCAATAACAGATATGAATTGCTTAAAATTTGATGAGAAAGATCTGTGAGCAGTTTTGAACATGAATTTTGTCAGGACATGTTCAGTCAACAGCTCTTCATTTCAATTGTGAAGATTAATGTTTTTTTCCATGAAACTAATGCCAAAACTTTGACTCACTGGAAATAAAACATTAGTTTAAAGAGCTACTCATTATCATTTGTTTTACAGTAAAAAATAAATTTCATGAATTAAGATATAAACCATTTTGTCACATAACAGCACTTTGGAAAAGACATGGAAGGTGACCTATGTACAAATAGTTCATCCAGTGTTTCCAAGTTCCCAACTACTGTAACACTTGCACAGTTTACATGGAAAAAGGGAAGGAAGCTTTGCTTGCTCAGGCTGTTGACTTAGATTAGCTTTCCTCTGTAAACTGAAATTACTATTCTGTAAAGTAGAAATTATAATGCATACCTTACAAGAGTACGGTGGTGACTGACTGCCATTTTCGTTACCCATAGTGTGCAGAGTGTGCAGAATCCTACCCTGTATGTTAACACACGTGGATCTAGTATCAGCTGTGGCCTGGATGCACCCTCAAAAATATCTTCTGGGACATGACAACTTTACCCATGTGAGTAGAGATTTCTCAGAAAAAAAAAAATCCTGGCATAGGGCAAAGAGGTTGTATGGGTTGTAATAGCAAAGTAATGAGCGTTTCTTGGAAGTAGATCTGCATCTTCAGCACTTATTGCTGCTATGTGAAAGACAGTAGCAATAGATCCGAAAGCCGTCTTCTTGTCTGCAAAGATTTTATCCACACAAGAAAGCAAAACTTGAGAGGTTCCAACTTCTGTGAAATATGAATGGGAATGGATGGTGTACAGCATCTTGCAGAATAAATTCATGTTTGTTTGAAATCAAAACAAAAATCTTTAGCATTGAAAATCTATGTTAAATATCTAAATGAGACAAGAAAAATAGAGATAGGCATTTAAGTTTTTAATTTTTTTTATATATAATAATAATTGTCAGTTCTGGAGTATCAAAAGATCACACTGGGAATTCTTGCAAATTTTTTATATCGTTAACTTCAAATTCTCCTGTATTTTCTAGAAAATTCTGTGGACAGCAGTTGTTCTGTCATGCATTCAACAGGATAGATCTCATTTTATACTGCATTTAATCTAAGGTTTTATTCTCATTTTTGCTTTGTGACACACTGTTTCTCTCAATTTTGCTCTCAGACCACATTATTTTTTTCAGCTTTTCTTCCTCTACATAGTATTTTAGACTCATTATCAATTTACTGAGATCTGGAACTGGTATTCTTGGCTTTAAGGATGCTCTAAAATGACAAACCTGGGAAAGCACTGGCAAATCATGACTTTGCAACTGAGGACATATATTCTGCAAAGGCTGAGAATCCTTGGAATCTGCAGAATTCCTAAACCCCAGTGGGTTTAATGCTCCTGCTGCCTCTAAAATACCAGTGCTTTGATGTATGTCCCATTTCCTGGATTCACTAGAACTGTGTATTTTGGGATATTTGCAGACCGTTTAAGTTTTCATTTCTGAATACACATCCTAAATATTCAGAAATACTTCATTTTCTGAAGAAACTAAAAGTGAAAAAGTTTTTACAGAGCACATGTAGATAACCTGAAATGTATTTCCTCTGTAAAAGCTGATTTCTCCAAAGTTCCTAATATTGGACATGATTTTGGTTCTGCAATATGAAATACCTTGAAAAGGTCGTGATTTTTCAGAAGACAGATGGGTAGTTTCAGAAAACAATACATTTTCCCTTTAGAAAACAATAGAACTTCAGTGTGCCCCCACTTGATTACTTAAAAATGGAAGCAAAGTTTTTAGTTTCTATGGATAAGCTGGGCATGCATAAAATCACTCTGGATTCTTATGCTGCTTCTTGTTCCACGTCCAAAAGTGCTCCGTTTGTAAATAGGAACTTCATCTTCCTTTACTGTTGGTTTTCTAAGCTCATTTGGATCTTAATATTTACAAGAAAGACTTTTCATGCTTTTCACATTATCACAGATGGTAATTGCTCGGATACATCTGTGAGAGCTCACTACCTTCATTTCAGGCTCTCCAGTTCTAATTCAGGAATGCACTTCAGCAAATCCATCATTTCTAAGCAGTGTGTAGACTACAGACATTTTTCTGAATGGGAATGTTTTCTTATAGATCATACATCTGGAACCCACCAAATACGTATTGTCACGCAACATGAGGAAGATTTATATCAAATCTTATATCAAATTTATATCAAATCTTCCTGGGGTTAACTGTTCGCGGAATACAAAAAATCCAAAATAACAAAACCAAACATGTTTGGAAATGAAGTTATTAGATACAACCGAAGGAACAGGTTCCTTGAACAAGCAATTTTACATTGCCATTCTTGAAAGTCAGACTGGACTTGAACAGTTGGGAAAAAAGCAGGAATTACTTGAATGCAGACATTATAAAACTGGGAGTTAATAATTAATTTTAAACAGACTTTCTGGTGGAGACAGTAAGATCTTGCTAACTTATGTTTGACATTCTCATAGCCTGAGTGGTAGTGAGTGACACTGCTGTTAGGAAACCAGCACTGAGGACGCAGTGCACAGTTAAATCACATCCGTGATGTGTGTGAGGGAGTGGTCTAGTGCTTGGCCTGTAGAAAGGACAGTTGCCATGAAGGAAGATACTATTTACATTTCAGAAGCCTGTGTATTTCTTACAAAAATAAACACCATCAGCATTATCTGATGCCAATTCCACAGTATACACAGTGATTCAGCCCCTGATTACAGCAAAGTTTTTAGGATCCATACTTCCATCCATTGAAAAAGTGCAAATACTCAGACTTCAGGGAAGTCAAAGTATTGTGCTTCTAAAGGATATTGTGCTGAGCATATTGTTCATTTCTTGATTCTATAAGATCTCCCTTGTTGAAGCCACTCAACATTGCGCCAGGATTTCCAGTCTACCAGTGAAGTTCAGAGCTGTTATCCCAGCAGTCTGTTCTGGCTTGCTATGTGACATAGAAAATATTTCTAGTAACTGATTAGCAATAGATTGTTTTTATAACAGTGTGTTCCTGTACACATGCCCTCCTCCAATACCCTTTCCCTATTCCCAGGACAGAGACACCAACTCAGTAGTCACAGACTACTATATTACATCAGAGAGCCTCATTAAATCACTCCAGACACAATTATCTTTTGTATCCATCAAACCATGAAAGGTTACCTGAGTTACTAAAAAATTCCAGGCTTGTCTTCCTAATAAACAACAGTATAGTGATTAATTGCCAAAAGAATCTGGTGCTTTAGGAATAGCTTTTATTTGGAAAGTTTAACATGCTCATTCACCAGACAACTGAACTCTCCACTTCTCACTTTCTCAGGTCACCTGCAAGTACTAAAGATTTATGTGAGCAAGAAATATTGTTACTTTTTAACATGGTGATGTTTTTTTAAGCAACATATTTCAGATAGAGATTTAGCCCCATGATGCATACAAAGAAAAAGACTTTGCCTTGAGAGGATTTGGTATGAACTGGGTCACAAAGGCAATTAAAAGTCTTAAACCAGATGTATTATGTCTGTTCTATCCTTTTCATTTGTGTCAACGGGTGAAATCATTGCATGGTACGCCCTGGTTCATTTTGTCATTCTAAAGCTGGAAATGATGTAAACAAAAAAGCAGATTTCTTTTTTTATATAGTATTGTGAAAGATACTAATTTTATTCCACTAAAATCAATTATAAATTTGAAGCTGAAAATGCATGTGTGTTTTTAAACATTCTGATTCTATAAAGTACATTCCATAGTCTGGATTCACTTTAATTGTGATTAATTTGCTTTCTTCTATATCCCATAGTATATATGCACAGGACAAAAACACACATAAATAAGTCACACTATTAACACAGTGTTTTCATTCACCTGTGGAATCCTGCATAAGAATTATTTTTTTTATTTTAAGTGCACATTTTAACTTTCACACGATTGAGCTGGGCTTCCAATACACTTTCTGCTTCTAGGGAAGATCAGTTTAAACACAGTGAAGTAAATCATGTGTGTTATTGCTCAGTACGGAGTTACTCAAGTTAATTATATTTCTGTTGGTTTTGGCTAACAAGTAATGCTACAATATTTACTTTAATAAGCTGAAGTAAGCTCTGAGCCTCTTTAAAATAATACTCATAGCGTGCAAAAACTGTAAACACCGCAGAATGAGGGTTCCACTTGCAAATTGGTTCATTACTTATTTGCCAATCTTTATGCAAATGGGGGAGGACTTGCTACTCTCTGTAAGGTGTCTTTATAGGTAACTGCTGGGAAAACTTTTGCAAGAACTCAGTAGCACTGAGCAACTGGTGTGGTGATATCGTTCCTGAACAAATGCCATCTTTGAGAGCCCACCCACTGTGGGACAGTAAGTCTCTTTGGCCTCTTTGCTACCTAATAGAGTGAAGATCAGAACCTAGTAAGTTAATAAAACTGACTAGCTTACATGTCCCCTTCTCTGCTCTGGTCCCAAACAGCTATTATGCCTGGCTGCCTAGGAGATCTCCAGAAATACAGGGTGCTGTGGCACAGAGGCATTACCCTTATTCCTTCAGGTTTCCTATATTCCCTGTGATCCCAGTCTCTATGGCAGAACTAATAAAAATGGGTAGAGATACACATGACTGCATGTGAAGAAGTTCATTTTCATTAACCGTCTGGTTCTTTTTTCAGCTTGCTTTGTTTTGGTCATATCTGTGCTCTCGTCTTCACCTATGGGGCTTTCAGACTCACGCCTGACACAGTTATTTGCACTTTTCAGGGAGCAAAATGCCATATGTCATCCCTAAATAGCTTACTTTCTATAGCCAGATAGAAATGTGCCTCTAATTTGTTTTATACTGCCAATACTTTTTGTGAGAGGAAATTGTTGGGGCACTGGAAGTTATCTATTTTCCAATAGATTTTATTAGGTTATTTCCTGTTTTTCTTCCTATTCCTTTGCTCTGTCTAATTTGGCAGATTGATTTTCTTCTTGCACTTTCCTTCCTTTTAGTTCTCCCAGTTCTACTCACCATCTCCTTGTCCAAACTTCTGGACATCAGCTGAATGTTAGAAAGTAGAGCTGGCCAAGGATTTCAACATTTAAAAGGTTGATAAAGCTTTTCAGGTAATTCAAACTCTTGGGCTTGCCATTAGAGTTAACTCCAAATCTAGAAAACTGTCGTTTCCTCTCTGATTTTTTTTTTTCATATCTACCTATCTATCTATCTATTTCCGCTTTCAATTTATTTTGCCTTTCAGTTTATTTCCCCCAAACTTATGTTAGCCCCTGCTTTATCTTGTTCCCATTCCCACTGAAGACAGCTACACTGTCCCGATTCTTCTACTTTCTATATTAGGTATGGGCATTTTCCAAAGACCCAGGTGCCTCAGTAGTTTTTCAGCAGTTAGGCTGAGACTGGTAGAGCGTAAAAGATGTGGGAAATAATATTCCTCGTACCACCTGATGAGTGTTGGGCAAAACAGGACATTTGTTTGGGGTTGCATAAGTTTACCTGGCTTAAAACCTTTACTGCTGAACACATTCACCTGCCTTCTCTGCTAATTTCAGTGAAGTATAATTATATTAAAAACATTTACTTACAGGTGAGTACAGTATTCAGCTTTGGCCTCCAGCTCCATCTCTGTTCTGTATTGCTGATTTTATTGTTGTGTTAGGAAGGTAACATTGTTCATTGCATGATAAAAATTAACTATGTTTCTCTGGAGCTGGTACCAGCTCACGCGTTTCTAGTAAAATACTCTATGCTTCAGGAAACGAGTCCCTCTAAAGTTATGTGCTCTTCTAGATTCAGATAAATCGAACAATATTAGACGCATCTATAGCTTGGGAAAAGAGATCATTACATTCAATTCTCAGAGAAATAGCTGCAAGGGATCTTGGGCTTATTCAGGCTAGCCAAAAGCCATAGTCAGCACAGCAGAAATTCCAAAATTTGACATATTTAAGCTATTAACTTGAACTGCCAAATAGTCTTTAGACATATTATTACAGACCTCTGAAGTGGAATTGCTCAGTGATTAGTTTTACTCATCAGCTGCATCAACACATGTTCAAGGAAGGCAGGAATGTTGGGTTATTCCTGCAGCTATGATTTTTCATGAAAAAAATAAAAAAGGATTTGTATTTATTTTTAACAAAGACATTACTCACAGTTCTTGAAAATAAAACTATAACAGAACACTGCTGATTTACCTCAATAGCTCGTAAAACTATTGGAGAAGAGAGACCTTACAAAATATTGTCATTACAAAACCCAAATGAGAAAAACTCATTTGTTTTAGTTACACATTTAGCAGTGACTGTGTGCAACACATCAAAACTGGAGAGGGAAACTCCTAACATTGCTTTCCTAATCAGTTTCTAAAGTGTTATCTAGGTTTCAGCATTTGTTAACTAAGCACAAATTTGATAGCACTGAAGGGGAAGCAATACACTCAAAAGATATTACAGAGACAAGAATATGCTGATACTAAAGGCAGTGAAAAAATATTTTTTATGCCAAGAGAGAAAAAAGCTTGGGGTATGACCTGGAAATTTGAACAGTTGAAGAACAAGGGTTCAGCATTTTTTATTTTTCTTTTTTGGCACACTCTGTTTGCTCCAATTTACAGCTCATGCATTTGGACACAGATTCAACTGTCTCCTGTATCCAAGGATAATGACCTACCGCTCCAGTGATTTAGCAAACCTCAACTCTGTGCAGCCACTCAATCAGCGATGGGCTAATCCCTTAATGGCCATTTGTGTCTTTCCAATGCATCCTAAGGAGTTCTGCAACACTCCAATTCTGCTGCACAGAATTATGTGCACTTCTTCCACCCTTGTTATCTTATCAGGTAGCTAATTCCCACAAATGATCATGCAGTCTCAAGTTTAAGATGAAATTGCAATTGAATCATAAATTTGTCACTCTCCAGACAGCTGCTAAGTCAGTAAAAACTTGATCAAGTGGGGATTAGACACTGGATTGAACAACTAAGACCTGTGAGTGCATCTGGCCCTTTGACAGAGACATGTTTATTGATAAAAAAATAGTTTATGTAGAGGTTTAAAATATTAATTCTTAAGTGGGGCATAATCCTTTATCTAGTATATTGTGACACAGAGCTAACTATCCCACCAATGTCTTGCTCTGCTCAATCAACTAGTTAAACAGGATTAATCTTTTGAAATAATGATGACTGTGAGCCTTTATAAATTACCAGAGCAGAGTGCAACGAGGGATGTAATATACAAAAATTGTTTGCTTCAGAGGGAGGTTTTTTCATGTAAAGGGAAACAGCCTTTCAGACCATCAGTTATGTTTTTATTAAAATGTTCATATACATTAAGCAATATATTTCCTACACAAGAAAATTATGTTCCCTGCAGAGAACTGGCATATAAAAACATCTCCTAGCCCTATTCTGAAAAAAATTAAGGCACAATGGGATAATGGGATACTATCTTGTGGTGCTCATTACATAATGGAAATAAATAAAGGAGATAAGCACTTCCCTCAAGTTAGTGACCCATATCCAAAGTTTTCTGTAGTAGAGATTTCTCCCATTGTATCACATATCTATGTTTTACCATGATCTATTTTTGTTAGTTTATTGCAGGAAACAGTAGATCTCTGACAAGTGAAACATTACTGTTCCATGGGTGTTAATTTTGCATCTTTCATATTTTGAACATTGAGATAGTTTCTTAACTACAGGTGTAGATGGACTGAGATCCTGGCTACTTTTATAATTCTTCAGGTATGAAGTTTTCATTGTATTAACAACCAGGTGTGAAGAATTCAGCATAGACTATAAGCCTCATTTCAGGCACATCACTAACAGCAGCAATTTCTGTTCATCTTTGTTCTGACTGAGGTTTCAACTAGTAAACTCAAACTAAGTGATTTAAGATATAATTCACTAACGATACCATGAGTGAGTACAGTCTTGTTACCTGACAGATTCAGCACCCATCAGGTCTGTAGTAGGTCATTACTGGCCAACCTCATCCAGTGCCACCAGTATCAGTGTTTCTGATTTATCTGGTGTAATGATAAAAAAAAAACAAAGAAACCCAAAAGCAGCATTACTGGATCTGCAGATAAAAATGTGATTTGCTTGCCTGATGAAAATCTCCATGTTGTACTTGCTTGTTATGAAAAACATTCACCGGGATTACATCAGGCAAAGGAGAAAATTGAATTTGTGTTTCCTGCAGCCCAAATGCTCTTATTCCACAGTGCTGAGTACAAGACTTCTTTTTTAGGCAGATCTGTACTCTTCAACCCCTTTGCTTTTCTCACAAGATACTGAAATGAAACATTCCAGTTGCGGTTTGAGAGAAACACATTCAAGTTGCCTTCACAGTTTTCAGCATCTTATTTCCACAAAAAAAGACCCAAAAGATTAAATGTAAACATGGCCCAATGACATTGAAATCTGGGACAGATACCTAAGTTTAGCTGCCCATATGAAAAATCAATTCATATTTTTAATTAACTTAGCAGTGTGCCTTATACTGCAATATTTCAGAGTTCAAAGCCACATCAACATAATCAGAATGGGTTAACTCCACACAAGAAACCAAGATGAACTCACATTATGGAGAAAATTAGTATGTCCCGATAGTAACATAGCAGTGATATTTTTTACTTGCACAGCTATGCCGAGCAGCACCAAATGCAATATCACATGCAATTTACAATCATCATAACATTTAGCTGTGTTAAGTGTTCACAAAGCTCAGCTGGAAAGAAAGGTATACATAATTTTGACAGTGCATAATTACCTTCTGTGTCTTAAAAACACTCTTTATCCACCACTTGTTACCAACTCTGTGACTAGTGCAGACTTAAGTAAAGCGTAGAAACAAAACCATGGTTGAAAACGTTCTCATGGAACAGTTTAGTCAGGCAAGTACTTTTACCTGTAGTATAATTATTGGCTGGATTTAGCACAGGGATATGGTGGAAAACTTCAAGTCTAGACTAACCACCTTCTGGGTTTTGAGCAGAAAAGACCAAGAGAGAACCTGCCATTCCACAGACACATTTCTGCAACCCATCTGGCACAAGGAAACCTCAAACTCTGATTTCAGTGGCTCACCTATGTAAGCCAAAATTACACCCTCAAAGATACCTTTTGCAGAATTCCTGAAGTGCTTCATTCACACCCAGCTACAGCCTACAGCACACAGAAGGGGAAAGTTTAGTCGCTGTTTAGTCAAAGATAACCACTGCCATAGGCAATGGTGTGCAGAGGTGGCCAAGCCCCTCGGGACTGCTCCTTATCTGGACAATGCTCACTGCAGCATTAACACTGGCTGGTTGGTTAGGTGGGTGTTTGGGGCCAGGACACACACACCTGCTGAAGCTGGAATATTTAAATTCCTATTCACTACGGTATATTCTTTCTCAGTATCACACCCTATGTTCTTTGTCAAATCACAGCTGAAGGGCCTCTTACTCAAGGAACACAGCCCAAATTCTTCTGACAACCAGGTTGGATTACGGTGATTCACTTCATGAATCAGACAGAACATGCCCTACGTTAGCCGTTGCCTTCCATGCTGCTCAGAAGCATAATTTTGTAAATATTCTAAATTCTCATGGGTCACAGTCATTTCATTTTGCCCTTGCCTGTGGCTGATTAATGCAAATCAAATTTCATACCAGTCAGCTCAAGCAATCTGCACATTGTACAGAAATCAGCATTTCAACTAGAAGGCACAATAGTTTTCACCAGTTACTAATGTTCTCAGAAAAGGTCAGAATTCTAAATGCACTGATATAAAAGAGAAAAATTAAACCATTCAATCCCAATAATCTTTGATTTAAAAATGCAATTGAAAAATCCAGCAGGGTAACTTGAGATTTTTTTTCTGAGTTTACTATATTTTTAGGGTATTTTTTTATATTTAAAATGTAAAACAACAGCCCTGCTTTTAAAGATGGATCTCTGCAAAAAGAGCCAGGAATGTACTAAATATTTCCAGCAAATGGCCAAGTTAAATAATGCACAATGACAAAATTTCCCCTGACTACAGTGTTACACAATTCATGATTATTCTCTATATTGCTCCTGAAGTGAGTTCATGTTTGGGGCCAGTATTTCAACTGAGTCTCAAGATTAGCTCACTCCTACCTTCTATTAAAGTAATTAAATCTCTGAAACTAAATGCTCATTCTACACAAAGAGGGGAAATTAAACAAAATAAAAGCTAAAACCCATCAAAGCAGCTGCCTTAGGTTTCCTTGTCACCTGCATTTTCATTCTACTTACACAGAAGTGCTGGAATCCACCTGAACTACACGATACACAGAATATAATCCCAATACATAGACCTTCCTGTACTCTTGTTATCAATGTGACAGAACACCCTCCAACTGTATAACTAGGATAATAAATTTGGAATAAACTGTGGGTTTTGAACCTAACCTAGCAATTTTTGGTCAGGTAAAAGTCTTACTCATATTAGCTTCAGGACCATGGGGCTTTTCTAACTAAGAGTCTAATACTGCAGATTCAGCAGAGGCTCATACTATTAGAAGTGCACTACTTTATATTACATTTACTAACAAGGGAGATTAATGTTTTAACTGGGTGGTCTCAAAATTCATTGTTTATTGTGACATTCAGAGTCTTTAGTATTTTTTGGTTCCCTGTAGTACCCAGTTTCAATAAATATTCTGGTGCCATTACCTTACATTGCATAAGTCTCTACCGAACAAAACATTACAAGATGTAATCTCTTAAAAAGGGCAATATACATTTTGTTGAGGACATCCCCCAAGAAATGTTTGGGGCCAATTCCATATTTTGTATGATTTGGATGTCTCGCCCATTCAAAACACGAAGCAGGTCAAAGGAAAAAATGTGAAGTCTAGAGGCTCTTCACTAAGAAAAACTCACATCATTTTTTTCTTTGCCATTCTTTAATGAAGAATTTTAACTCTTGTATGCTCAAGAAAATACCTGTTCTCTAGGCAAATGCTATCTGTCTATCTATGAGGTTTTAAGCGTTGTGGTTCTAAAGCAAGTACCTCTGAACAGCCAAATAACACTACCAAGGTATCAGCTGCTTCATGTTTGTCATTGTGGATATGGAATATCCTCCTGTTAGCTGGCTGTCATTAATTTAGACCATAATAAAATGCTTGGCTAGGTGATCTGTGACTGAAATGAAGGGAGCCTGGGGCCTTTGGTCCAGTTTCTAGCAGCTGTGCTCTCCACATGTGAGGCTGTGAAGCATGAAAACCAAAGACTGGGAGAGCAGGAGGAGGAACCTGCTGCCTCTCCACAGGATGCGAGTCCAGGACTCTCCAGTTTGGATCTGAAGAACAATGATAAAGGCCTGGTGTGAAAAATATACAGCTACGACCTAGTCTGTCTGTGTTGCATAGCTAAAAGCAAGGGTCTACCACTTGGGTAAGGAGTATTTCCCCATCTCATATTCATTTTTTGCCTTTAATAGTTAATGATTTGTAAAGGAGAAAATGGGAATGTCTTCAGTGTTTGATTCAGCTTTAGAAAAAGAAAAGGAATATTCTGAAAGATTTAATTACTGGATGTGTGTGGTAGATGAGAACTAAAGGGTTAAAAAAACTAATGGTAGGCAGCCATCAAGCAGCAGAGAGTAGCAAACATACTGGACACAAACAGGTGATAAAAGGCACTAAGAGAGATGACAAAATTAAGAAAATAAAGAACACTGTTATAAAGATTTATAGATCAGCTAAAGCAGAGCAAAATAAATGATAACAAACACTGACAAAAAAAGAAACAGGGCATCAGCCATATAAACATGCAGGAAACTTCAATGCTTCTGTATAGTACTATGACACTGCTTTGTTTACACCAGCATTGACCTTTTGCTCCCAAAGAAGTTTATTAACCATCTTGCTCTTTCTTTGTGTTGCTTTACGCATCAAGAGAAAGTTGTACAGGGTTGATTCTGATGAATGGCTTTTTCACAAAGTCAAGTTATCCTTGACTAGACGCAGATGGCCTAGTAAAAAATGAATGCTGCCAGCAGACATTGTCTTTATCAGTAGAAAAAGTTCAACAGGGACTAGACTTCCTCATCTCTGGCCAGAGAAACCCAGCCTTCTGTTTCAGCACCATATCACATATTGTCCTAATGAATTCTTGTAACACACTGCAGCCCAGATAAATATGCTTATATTAATGTTTTTTGGCAGTCTGGGGCATGGTACAGAATTGACACAAGTGTTTGGATTCTGCCTGTAGCAGACACTAGGAATTTATACAGCTTAGAAATATTAAGCTGTTGTTAGGTTGTTTGTACTGTGTGATAATCTTCAGTATTGGGAACTGCAGCTCATCCCCTTCAGACTGGATTCACAAAGGGGAAGCCTGCAGCAAGGCACACTGAAGTCTGGCAGCTCTTAGCAGGCTGAGGAAGTGGCTCCACCAGTAGAGGGTTTCATTCATTCCACAGCAGTACCAAAGCTAATTTGAGATTTGTAATTCAGACAGTCCAGAGGACATTCACCAGGGCAATACTCACTGCAGACAATTCAAATCCTGCTGCCATGTGACCTTTCCTTTCTTTGATTCTCTTTTAATTCTTCCTTCTAATACCAGAAACACGCATCTCCATAGTTCTGAGGTAACAGAATAGTGAGTGATTTAAAGCACACCTTTCCCCAGCAGTGTCCAAGGCAACCTGAAGGACAGCAAGTGCTTGGCCTTTGAAGAATGCCCCAGGCTACCAGATGTTTAAAACTCTGGTTCTC